CCAAATGCAAGATGATGTTACAGGACTGGACTACATCGACGCCTAGTTTAAAAATAGGAAGTGAAGTGGTAGAGCACGTTGACCGCTTCACTTATTTGGGAAGTACCATCAGCCAGTGTCAACGGGTTGATCTCTGACGAAATCTCAGCACGAATACAAGGGGCTCGTTTCGCATTTGTTAGTTTACGCCGTCTCTGGCGTAGACGAGATGTTCGACTATCGACCAAAGGGCGGGTGTACTGCTCATCAGTCCGCTCCGTCCTCATTCATGGCTTAGTGAGACCTGGCCACTGAGAGTGGAAGACATGAAAAGACTAGCTGTCTTTGATCATAGGTGCCTGCGTTCTATTTCCCGTGTAAAGTGGCATAATAAGGTGAGCAACATGGGGGTTAGGCGTAGAGTTCTAGGTAAACAGGGGAAATCAATCGACGAAGTCGTGAAGCTACAAAGACTGAGATGGTTAGGATATGTGTTACGTATGCCAAGTCATCGCCTCCCTCGACGAGCTATGTTAGCGGATATAGGGTCAGGCTGGAAAAAAGCTAGCGGCGGTCAAACAAAAACTTGGCATCAGTCAATGAAATCCACAACAGTTGGTCTTAGACACGTAGGAAGGTGTAGACTTCCAGGCTGGGGTCCTCGGGACAGTAAAAATCTATGGTTGGAAACAATTGGTGACATGGCTCAAAACCGTTCTCAGTGGCGCAGATGCATCCACTCCCTGTGACTTATGATCTTCAATGAAACTGTTTGGTATTTCTTTATTACTCCTTTGTCTCACACCTCTGCTCACTGTTTCTATTATGCTTTTCTTGTACTTTTTTCTCTTGCTTCGCGTGCTACACGGAATGTGGCGACTTGAACTTCCGCACATTTGTGCAAAGTTCTATGTCGAAAACAGACAGACAGACAGACCATTAAGCCACTGGGACCCGATCCAATGGTCCTTGAATTCTAACTTCTGCCAATTCACAACATAGCGCGACCGCAAGCCAATGTCTTCGGTGAGTATTTGTCCCCAGGTTTTCCAATGGTTCTCTAACTAATGTCAGCTCATGATGAAATCCTGAAACCAACCAAATCCCTACAAACCAACACTTAAAAAAAAAAATATATATATATACATATATAAGTAGAGAACGGATAAAGAACTTCATCTGGAAGGAAAACAGTCATGCTTAACAAGTTCAAACAGTATTCGTTAACTATCATCGGGAAGGGAAGAAAGAAGGAAATCGCAACACATTCGCCATTGATTACGATTCTTGGCCATATCCGATAACGTTTCGAGCCATCGATTTGAGCTATCTCTCGGACCCCAACCAGCGAGTCGTGACACACCAACCGATGCTAATCTAGCACAAAAATCCTTCATCCCACGACGCCACGTCATGGACTGACCACCCCTCTGCCTTTTCCATCCCGTCCCAGGGCTGGCTAGCGAACAGACACCAGTACGGAAGCCTCTGGGATGACATTCGCAGCACATGTCCAAGCCACCGGAGCCGGTGTTTCCAGATGACGACATTCAATCAATGGTGATCTCCATTGTGTTCAAACACACGCCGCCGAACCTCAGAATTACTCACGCGATGATGCCATCGAACGCAAGCAATCCTGAGGAGACAGCGGTGATCGAACACGCAGAGTCGCCGACCATCCTCAGCTCGGAGAGGCCAGGTTTCACAGGCGTAGAGCAGGGCAGCCCGCACCGAAGCATTGTATACCCGACCTTTGACAGCCAGGCTAACGTCGCGACGGCGCCAGAGGTGGCTCAAGTTGATGTATGCCACCCTAGCCTTCATTATACGGTTGGAAATCTCATCCGTCACCCCTCCGCCAGCACTCACACAACTACCCAGGTACACAAACTTATCAACAACTTCAAGCGGTTCACCTGCAAGAGTGGGTGCAGGTACAGGCTCCTGCCAATCTTGTAACAGTACTTTGCACTTAGACGGCGCAAAGCACATACCATACTTACAGACACTGATCGCCAACTGATTAAGTGCGATTTGGGCAGCCTGCATGCTATCGCACAGTAAGACGATATCGTCTGCATACTCGAGGTCGAAAAGTCTATCTCCAGGTAGCAGATCTACACCACCTTCACGCACATCCTTCAGAGCTGACTCCAGAATGTCATCGATGGCAAAGTTAAAGAGAAATGGAGAGATTGGGCAACCCTGTCTAACCCCACTGTTGGTTGGGAACAGTGGTGATAGTTGGTTGTATGCCCTCACTCTACCTGAGGTGTTTCTGTATAGGGCTTTCAAGATGTTAACAAATTTCTCAGGTACACCTCTCTCTAACAGACAGTTCCAGAGCACAGTTCTGTCCAACGAATCGAAGGCAGCCCTAATATCAAGAAACACAACGATCGTTGGCCTGCAATACGTGTGGCGGTGTTCCAACAACTGACGAAGGGTGAACACATGATCAATGCATCCACGACCTGAACGAAACCCAGCCTGCTCTTCGCGAATCAATCCTTCACGTATTTTGCACAGCCTGCGAAGCAAGACAGCAGCCAATATTTTAGACGCGACTGGTAACAGACTGATACCCCTATGATTGTCACACGAATTACGTCGACCCTTTTTAAAGATGGGGACGATAATGGCTTCGTTCCACATTGATGGTACACTCTCTGTCTCCCACACCTTCCTGAACAACCCAGTTAGAGCCATTGTGAGAGTCTCGCCACCATCTTTAAAAAGAGCCGGGGGTAATTTGTCTGGGGCGGGCGCCTTATGGCGTTTCAGTACTTGGAGTTCCTTACGGACCTCCGCTTCGGTGGGTGGGTCGGTACTAACCGACCAAGGAGCACTCGGGCTAATGATAGTAGACACTGAAGCTGGTGGCCAGCTGAACTGCTTCCCGAAGTGCTCTGCCCAGCGTTCCAGGCGTCTTTTCAGGCTGGTAATTGGCGTGCCATCTGCCTCACAGACCGTCTCGCTGACACCTTGTTTCTTGCCACCGGTGGCTCGTATGAGTTGGAACAGCTTCCGACTGTTGCCAGATGCAGCAGCTGACTCCATCTCACACGCACGTTCTGACCACCAGGCTTCGCGGTCCTTACGTAAACACTGTCTAATCTTGCGCGTGAGCGCCTTTCGCTGATTGTTGTATTCGCTGCCAGCCGGAATGGACCGGCGTTCATCCAGGAGTTGCAAGGAACTCGCAGAAACCCAGTGGTTGTTAGCGGAGCATTCTTTCAAGCCGCAAGCGGCTACACTCGCCTTTTGCATGGCACCTTGCACATGAAGCCAATGTTCATCTATACTACTTGGGGGGTTGCTGGCAAGCATTGTTTTTAACTCATTCTGATATTTCAAAGAAGTAGCAGGTGCTCACATCAACGCTTAGACGACGGCTTTTACGAACCCCACCAAATCGCAAGACGAACTTGGCACACACTAACGCATGATCGGAGTCCAGGCATGTGCTCCAGAAGGAGCGAAAGTTTTGTATGCATCCTCGCCACAGGAAACTGACCGCAATATGATCAATCTGAGTCCAAGCTTGCTTCGCAGAGGGAGGACGCCAGGTAGCGCTACGGCGATGGCTGTCCCGGGAGTTGGTGCTGGCTAGAAAAAGGCTGTGATCCGCGCAAAGCTGCAGAAGACGGTCCCCATTATCTGACCTGCGACCATGTAGTCCCCACTGACCACCTAGACGATTCCCCTCTGAGCTTAGACGCCCGATCTGTGCATTCAAGTCCCCAGCCAGCACTACGATATCCCTCCGACCCGCCTGTTTCAAGAGATCACTCAGTTGGTAGTAAAACTCATCCTTCATTGCATCCGGGCTGCAATCCGTCGGTGCATAGGCAGAGACAACAAATAGACACCGCCTATCTGGCCTACTACTCCTTACTTTCGTATAACCTTCCAGCCTCACAGCACATAAACGACTGTTAATGGGAATCCAGTCGAGCAGTGCAGCTTCGGCTTTAGTGCTCAGTGCGACACCGACACCAGCTACGCCGGATCCCGACGCCACAGGGTCCCCGGATAAGCGCAGGTGGTACATACTACTAGAACTTCCAGATGGAGAGGATAGTCGAAGCACTTCACTGGGATCTTGAATGTGGGTCTCCGAAATGCAGCAGACATCGATAGCGAGGCTTTCCAAAGTTCTTGCCAACCCTGTCTGTTGTCCGATTTGCATCAGCGTCCGAACATTGTAGGTAGCCAGCTTGAACGCGGCACGCGATTTCAGGATATCTGTATTAGATGTCACATTGGGAACAACCATTTTGAGGACTACTCACTAACATCTCGAAACGACACGGATAGGCTGGGAATCTCGACAAAGGTGAAAGGCTGTCGAAGGTTAAAAAGCCAAGGTTAGCAAAGGTAAAATACAGGAAACTATGTATAAAAATAAAAGTAAGGTAGGAAGGAAATGAGTTGCTTGAGGGATCATTATTGCTTGAAATCATTTTTACTAGCGCGCGTTGAGTTTCAATGAGAGTTCGTTGCTTTAATTCATTCAATAGGTAGGGAAAAAAGAAGAAATACACAAATATGCACTGATAAAATCCTTCCGAAAACAGTTTGTTTGAGTTATAGCTGATTTCACATGTTAGTCTAATCTCAACCTCATAATGAATAGTAAGTCGAAAAAGAGGCGATACATCATACTGCACTTTCATACTACACTAGGAGAATTCTTATGATTTTTTAATATGAAGCAAATAAACAAAAATAACCCATTTTAACACGATCCAACTTGATGTAAGATACTATAACAACATGGGAATATAAGTTCATGACAAAAATGGACAGTTAGAATTGGTGCACCAATCAAAACATCGGATTGGACGAGAAAAAAAGATACTGGGAAACTAAATAGTACCAAATTCGAAGACGATTGACGATAAATAGTTCAAATGAAAAAAATAACATCCTTTTTACGGGTGATACTATGGTTGAATTTTAAAAATATTGTGATAAGAAACTTCTATGCCACATATATAACAATAAAAACTCACCAAGAGGCATGAAAGTATACACGACAACTCTTCCAAGCACACTGAATACAAGCTCCACAGGTTGCTAAGGAATTTCGTTGATTACGTTCACAAAATACGCAGGACTGAAAGGTATATAATGGAGAATGAAAAGTGATACCTTGAGATTAGTAAAGTTTGAAATTGTCTTTGGTGACATTAACTTGACCGATGGGGCTCAGTTTGCACCAAGCAAAGGACTAGATACATTACAGTAGATACTAACTAGTGTCCAATCAAAAAACAACTGTTTCTCATTGTTTTGAAATATCCTTCGCCCAGTAATAAACACCGCATAACAATTTGGTCAAGAAATATTGACCAACAAGTAACACCACTTCAGAATTTGTTATGCTGTGTTATACAGTTTCCAGAAACAAAAATATGACTGAACTTGTCACTATGTTTAATGGGTGTCGAAATTTGTTACCAATCCTTTTGTAACTAAGTTTCTTTTTATGATGAGATAAATCAAAGTAGAGCCTTTCATAAAATGTCCATTAACAACGAAAAAGATAAATTACCTAAAGGAATATACGAAAATAGACAGAAATGTAAGGATGTCCCGAACACAGTGTAAATAATACATCTACGCCATGCAAATACTAATCCTGAAACAACGCATCTAGTGGCCTCACTGATATGTTTATACAGATAAGCCACATTCGTTTTTAAAAATGTTTTTATACTAAACGTCTGAAAAATATACATCAAATGCACATAAGCTCAACCAAAACTATTGTGGGCAGTTTACCTTTTTATAGTGCTACTAGGTCACCGCAATTATTTAGAAAAGAAATTCGGCACAGAGTACATAGTAAAACTTTCTGGGGGACTTGTACTACAGAGAAAGGTAGGAAGAGACGAGAAGTAAGCTACCGATGATTTAACCATTACGTCACCAAACTCATGCTGGCCTGCTTGCTGAATTTAATCGTATAAAATATTAAATTTCTAGCTTACGTAATCAAAACAACCAGACTGAAGAGCTTGAGAGCCTGAATACATTCATGTTCAATTATCTTCCACTAACTCATATTACAACTCTGTTTTACTTTCATTTTATGGTTTTGCATCATTTCTAGTGAGGAAATTTACTCTATTTTACCGCCTGTGATTGATTTATTTGTTTTTATTACGTATAACTACTACACTGCTTGATCCCATGCTGACTGCGGTTTATTAAGTCTCGTCTCAAATTAAAGTCTCAGTCTGGTGTCTATACCACTTTACTACAACTCGAAAAGCAAAGTTCTAGTGCGATACTTCTCTGATATTCACACTACCAACTGTACTAATTGAAAGCTATTTGTACTGCCAAATTTTTTGCAGTAAGCACTATTTTTGAGAGCACTAAACATGCACAGGACTTGTGGCAATATAACAGGTCTTAGTACAGATTTACATCAATCACAACAAACACAGAAACTGATGCAAACCAAAAGATCCAACAGAAAAATGGAATAAAATTAACACCATTTACAAAATAAATTGTATGAACTCTAATAAGCATTACATCGGCCAAAGTGGGCGTCCCCTTCGAATAAGAATCCAAGAACACAAATCAGCAGTGAAAAGACATGCTATAAATCCTTTAGTATCAATGCATACAGACAATTATGGACATCAATTTGATTGGGATAATGTCAAAATCTTAGACAGAGGAAACACCAAAAGTGCTAGGGAATTCCTAGAAGCCTGGTACTCAAACGAAAATGCAATTAATAAACAAGTTAATATAGACGAAATACACCAACTAATAAGAAGTAAATCAGGTGACCAGAAAGTTTAAAATCCAAATCAATAGATGGTTACCGGGAGACGCAATTATATCACTCATGGGGAAATTTAAATCATTTCACTTTATGCGAAATATTGCACTGAAGATGTCGCCCAGAAAGACGACGAAAGCTCCGCAACTAAACCAACCAGCTCAGAGAACACTATTAATTGCAAACACAGAAGCTGCTATTTTTAAATTGTTTCTATCATGCTATTATTCATGAGAAAAATGACTTTTAGTATATCTGAGGGGATATCATAAAGATGAATGTTTACTAGTGCCTTGATGTTGCTCTGCGAAAATATGAATGTACTTTTCCTTCACAATCTCTTCCATCAACTCCGTAACAAAAATAACTGACGATTGGGACTACCTATCCCCATGAGATTGCCGAGTGCGAATGTAACTCAAAGCATCAGTTCATTTTATAGGAACAAGTAATAACTTATTCTACTGCTTAAATTCAATCAAATAAACACGGCTTAGTGTGTTCGGCAGAGTACACCTACTGGGACAGTCCAATTAAAAGTACACTGACATGTATAATGATACGTAGAATGACTTTCCAGATTTAATGTTGCATAAAAATTGGCGTCTTGCACCGAATGAACAATTTAAAGGCATATATTTGTATATTTCAAGACGAAAAGGCTGAACATTTGTTGACTGTCCCAAACATGCATGTGTATGAAAACATACACACGAATACGACTTACCCGGCCAAACCTCTCAGCTGGAACATTCTCCACTGATATGAGCTCCATGATGCTAAAATCAGTGAAATAGACTTCAGGTACATATATTGCACAGACAACATGTGCCCAACCTGCTTTAGAATATATCATTTGTATGGAATCAACTCACCACATCTGACACCATTGCTCCGCTTAAATGCACCATCTTTAATTGGACATAAATCACAACGCTGAATAATCAGCAATATGAAAACAAGACTTACAATCTTGCTCACGCGCACTTGGGACTCGCATTTTCTGCAAAACCAATGGTTGACGCCCGCAACCTTTGGACCCCCATAGCACCCCTGATGTACGGCTATACTGCAATTGCTACAAAACAGTAACGCATTCGAAAGGCTTTGGAACTTCAGACTACAAACACAACACTTATCATTCATAACCGAAAATTCAAAGCCCGCTCGTCATCACGCCCTTGAAAAGAAGGGTAGACAATCTTCTGATCTTCAGAATGTATATTTCGCATTAATTATCTAGGTTGTCACTCTTTATCCCCTGAAAAACCTTTAAATAGGCAAAAAATTATTTCTGAATACCTAAAATAGGACTATGAGCAGAACCTAACAGAACCACATATGACTGGCATTGTCAGTATGCTTACAGCGAGCTAGCAGATACAAAGTTGACTATTTATCTTTCCGCCTCAATGGCAAAGAAGCGATTTGTTTATTGTGTAATTTGTAGTCCTGGATGATCTCAACATTGATAGAAGTGACGTTAGTTTGGTTGAAATTTCTTGGTTTGTGTGGACCGCGGCGTCGTTCCGTTATCAAATAATCGTTTCGTTGATAAGCCGTACGGCATGGTAGATGAAACCGCAGAAATATCTGTAAGCAAAAGACGAATAAGTGAGTCAAGTATTGTGCAGGAGGAAAAAACAGACAAAATGTGAGGGGAGATAGCAGGAAGGGGGAGATCGAGACAATTAACACACAGATAGTTTGAGAGACAGATCTGTTTCCAAAACACCATGTCCTGGTTTCATTACAGTTTCGACTGACTGACATAACGTTGAGCGATCACCCATCCAATTTTTACCGATGATATGGGATGATCATCCCTGCTTATTTTCTTTGGAGTTGGTATCTTTTTAGGAACCATGTGTAGACGAGGCAGTCGAGGTAAGGTGGCACATCAGCTATATAAACCCCCCGGAAAAGCACCGCTTCAAGTGTATTCGTCCTCCCACCAGTGAAGTGTAAGAAAAAGTGCGGATTTATCTTCTACCAATGGATTTTCTTCCCTAGAAAACGATGAAGTATCCAGATTATCTGGTCTGTCTTACAGAGACAAATGTAGCAGAGAATGGGACTGAATGCTCTGTTAAAACCGGGAAACGCAGGATTTTACTACCTAACTTATCAAGAAGCAGAAACGCCCTTTGAATACATTACCGATTACTGAACTGGGATTATGGAATACTTACTGCTATTAAATCACCTAAATCACCAGTATATATATTTCTTCCTGTTTATGCAGGAACATACCAATTGTACAGGCATGGATAAGTTATTATATAAATTACACAAAATTTGATGTATAATGGATTTACAGTTTGGTTGTTCTTTCTGACAACAAAGTCAGTCGGAACAGTCTGCTATAAAGTTTGTTTGTGTAGCACATAAAGAGATATAGAAATATTGTCTTCGCATTAACAAAAAACCCAGACATCAGATGAATGTAATACAAATATCTGGGAAAAATAAAGCTTGAAGTCAATTCTCCTATATAACTTTGTTGTGAACAGCACCCTTGGCTTAAAGATTATTGATGTATTATGTTGAGATCAGTGATATATTTATTCCATTTTTTCAGTAGTCTTGTCGTAGTTTTATAACAGGAAAGAAATTTGATCGTGGATACGAAAACTAGATAAGGTCATGTTGGGTTGTTTTACTGCATCAAGTGGTGCCGAGGTCGATTCCAGAATTCTCCATTTGCTCCATTTGTGTCTGCATGGCGGACTGTATTCGTAAGTTGAGTAAAATGTTGAAAACTGTTTGAAGACCAGTTGCTTCTTCAGTTCAGATCATGAATACTCATTTACAGCATGTTCGCCAGCGTCTTCAAATGGTAGAATTGGATCGTTCATGGAATTTGAGTGGTTATGAGATCGACGGTTTGGAATTAATCCTCATTTCAGTTTAGATGCAGGGTTGTTCGACCTCAACCAGAAGATGAATAGGAGCAGCAGAATACCAGAAAAAGAAAGTATGTGAACATGAAAAGGACATTTAATATTTCATGCATATGTAAGAGTTCTACTACGGCTTAGAGTGGACCTATACTCTAAACACCCTTACAAACTTCTTCACCGTTTTGGCGACCTACTAAGCTTAGCAGTACACTACTGGACGCGCAAATACTGACGAACTGTATCGTTGTAAAAAGACTTGATGTGACAAGAGTACCTGGGAGAATTATATTTTATTCGACGAAATATAAAATTCAATAAATAAAGAAGTCGTACAACTTATCTGCAGACGTTGCTGGAGGTAGGCTCGGAGAGTGTGCAGAAGGAGAGCACAACAAGAGAGCGAACCTATGAACGTAAGGAAGACTCACAAGTCAAAAGGTAAAACGTGGATCACCGTGGGTGAGTCAGTTTAAACAAAAGTTCAAAGGTACAATGTGCACTACAGGTTATCCCCCCCTAGAAGGTTGGTGGGAAACCAGCAAGCTTCGATATACAACAGTAGGATGGCTTGGCACAGTAGCAATGGGTGAATGAGAAGGTTTGAAAATAGCAATAGTAAAAAAAAGAAATTTCACCGAAAGGAAAGAAAGCAAAAGAAAAGAGAAAAAAATTAAGATAAGTTGGAAGTGGTATGTACATGATTAGTGAAGTAAGACGGAATATGATAAGAAATGGCGCTGGTGCCTTGTGTGGTTGTAAGCTTCTGCGGTCTGATGTTTTTTTTTATTTTTCCTTTTTTTTGTCTTTCATATTTTTATTAATCTTTTTTTTATTTATTTTTTTATTGTATCGATTCATTCTTTTTTTTTTAATTCCGCACTATTACAAGCTTACTTATGTGGAGGTTTGATGGTAAACCTCTGGCGCCGAGGCTGTCGTAGCAAGAAGGTGATTCATTATGTCTAACTTTCATATTAGACCAATGCTCCCTTCCTCCGCTTCAACAGAACCTAGCAGTCATGTTAAAGGCAATCATTATACCAGCGTATGATAAGGAGCAGGGTAAAAAAAAACAGAAGAAAATGGGAAAGAAAGGTTAAGATTTCAAAATCGGTGTAAAGGTACTACAAAAGCTTGTGCGAAATCAATGCGAGGAAAAGTGGTGCAACTTGGAAGTAGTACGTTAGAATGAGATAAAACAAAGGAAGTTTCTACCCTGTGAGAACTTATAAAATTACAGAGAAGTTAGTACATAACCCATAGCTATGAGTAGTTATCATTACCAAAATTACTTTGTTCATGTTGCTAAGTGCATAACTAAGATGATGCATAATGTTTATAAGTACGGTTCACAAAATAAATGAATTGCAGGAGGGCATAAACCCGAAGGAATATAGTAAGTGCTGTGAAAATAAATTGAGCGGATTACTATGTACAGCATAGAAGTGAAGCATTTATGCGCAAAAAAAAATATGTATATCTGTCCATTTAACTATACAGTGGAAGTTTTTTTTTGTTTTTTTTTATAATCTTTTTTTTATTTAAAAATAATTTTTTTTGTTTATTTATTATTATTTTACATTTTTTTTTACTTTTTTTTTAAATATATTTTATAAAATTTTTTTTTTACATAATAATTAAATTTTTTTTTGGAAAGGTAATATACTATTCATAATTCCTCTTTTGGTGTGGGTTACAAGATGACATGAGACGCCAACTGATCTAGCGAGTAGATTGATATGAAAAATTAGGGGTAAAAACAAACTGCTGCTGGTCCTCTGTAACGAGAGATAAAGATTAAAAGGATTAGTGAGGGTTAAAACGACTACTCCCAGAAGCGGGACCAAATAGATTAAATATAGCAGAATTGAATAAGAAATTGTGACAAGGAATAAAAAATCACTAGTAGCCTTACCTATGGATTAGTTCAGTGAAAGAATTCTACGAACCTCTTGGGCCAGTGAACACGTCGACCAGCACGTGTGACAGGGGTCTTACTGGTGACGGTAGGAGAATCATCATTCACCACCGGAGGTGAAGTAGTTGAGTCTGGACAAGGACTAGGTTCAGTGGGGCTATTTGATTGAGCCGATGGGGAGGGTGAAGGTTCTTCAGTGTATGCCGCTTTAAGTCTGTCTATGCTGACAGTGTCTGGGCGGCCGCATCGGTCAATAACGAAAAATTTATCTTTACGACTAAGGACCTTAAAAGGCCCGTCATACGGTGGTTGTAATGGCTTTCGTATGGCGTCGTGACGCACGAAAACGTGTGTACAGTCATCAAGTCGCCGATCAACCTGAACCTTTCGGTTCTGAGCGCGTGTGGAAACTGGTCGGAGTCGCTGCATAAAACTTTTAAGTTGCTGAGCGTAACGGGTGGTATCCGGGAAATTTGGCTCGAAAGTTTCGGGAGCGATTAGCTCGCCTGGTAAACGCATGGTGGTACCGTACACCAATTCAGCTGGCGAGCACTGCAGATCCCCCTTAAGCGTAGCCCGGATGCTAAGCAGGACCAGTGGTAGCGAATCTGTCCACTTACTGTTGTCCACTGCCATCAACGCAGCTTTGAGTTGACGGTGGAAACGTTCTACTAGGCCATTTGCCGCGGGATGATACGCGGTTGTGCGAATGCGTTTGCATCCCAGCATCTCTAACAATTCTTTGAAGCTTGTGGATTCAAACTGTTGTCCGCGGTCGGTAGTGACAGTTGCGGGACATCCAAAATGGGCAACCCAGCCATCCATGAAGGCACGACAGACGGTTTGAGCCGTTACATCAGGTATCGGAATGGCTTCCGGCCAACGTGTGAAACGATCCACACATGTGAGTAAATACGAGCAGCCGTTAGACGGGGGCAGAGGCCCTACTATATCCAGGTGGATATGATGGAACCGAGCGTCTGGGGTCGCAAACGTCCCCAACGGCGTGATGTTATGCTTGGTGACTTTAGCACGTTGGCATTGCACACAAGCACGTGTCCATTGACGCACATCACGGTTCATACCGGGCCACGCAAATCTCGCAGAAATCAACTTGTCCGTTGCTCGTATGCCAGGATGGGAGAGGTTGTGGAGTGACTCAAACACAGTTCGGCGTAAAGACGTGGGAACAATCGGTCGAGGAGTACCAGTTGACATATCGCAAAGTATAGTTGCCTCACTGTTTAGCAAGGGGACGCGTTCTATTTTCAGTGAGGTTTTATTTGACAGGTGTTCTAAGTTCAAATCGTTCAGTTGGAGTTCGGCCATTTTATGAAGATCGATGGTTGGTGGTACGGACGTAGCACATACGCGAGACAAAGCGTCTGCTACCGCGTTATCCGATCCAGAAACGTGCTGGATATCAGAAGTGAACTGGGAAATATAGTCTAAATGGCGTGATTCTCGCGGTGAATACCGGTCTGAAGTAGTGTGGAGGGCGTACGTCAATGGCTTATGGTCGGTAAATACCGTAAATTGCCGGCCTTCCACGAAGT